AATATAAGCTATTCTTGTCCAATGCAAGAGGCTTTACAAACATTACTTCACACGCAACATAAAAGTGAATTAAATGAGTATGCAGTTTGAATAATTAGCAGAAATAAGCCCTCAATATTATAACACCTCAGTAATGCTTCATGCATTGTTCATTCTCCAGGCTCGGCCAATAGGAGGAGGCGGCATCTTTCAAAAGGAGGGGAAAGCCCTGAGTAACATAGACCCTCCACCTGAACCGCCTCTCAAGTCTACGCCCTCCCTCCTCTCTTTCTCATATTGCTCCTTCCCTCCGTTTATGTCAGAAATACCTGTTTCACTCATTCTTGGCAGACATTGAACACCTCACCTTATAATGGACCACAAGGAGAGTTAGTAAGAGATGCATCCCATTGTGACATGCAATGAGAGACAGGTTAGGTATGATTGTAGTGGGAGCTCCAGTTGGGTTAGACTCTAACCCAACTGGAGCTCCCACTACAATCATTAGAGCATTGTTCAAAGATGTAATGATGCACCTTTTTGCTGTACATTTGCCTTGGTATGGGACCTGCACCAGGTTGCTTCAAATGAGTGATTCCCAGGGAGGAAAGACTTCTCCTTCAGGCCTCTTTGTGCGTCATGTTGACACAACACCGCGGACCGTCACTAATCTCCATCAAACCTGACCCCCATGGCAGGGTCACACTTTAGGGTCATCACATGACCACACATAAGAAGCTAACTATCACCAAGGGCCTCTAGCTTATTACCTTTCTAGCTTTACAATTGGCTGAGAGATTACAGGTGAAATTAGACTGGCCTACACTGACTGTCGCATCATATGACCCTATCTGCGTGTGGATGATGGATACAAAAGGCAGGTGCCATCTTCTGTGTCTGTGTTTATAACAAATCCCTATGCTGCTTGTGAAGAGATTAAATGGACCTTGCCCGCCTTTTCAATCCAGTTGACGACGAGAGCAACCTGTTTGTACATGAACAGCAACGCGACCGCAACGTCCTGCCTTTTAATGGCCGAATAAACAAACCAGCAGACATAATAACGCGGCGCTTTTGTCAAGGGAAAGGGCAGAGAGCTAGTTAAGGAAGGAGTCTGGCCCCACATGAAAAGGAACAGGGAGGAACAGAGACATCTGGGTGTTCCTCCAGCATTGTTTGGCCTTCTGCCTCTGAGGGACACCTGTCATTGGCTGGACGGTTTACACAGGTGCCTTAACCCCGCCTGATATGTCGGCCTTGAAAGGAGGCTTCAATCAACAGGTAGCGGGAAGGGAACAATGGCGACAATCCTGAAGAAGACCGAGAGAAAGGAGAGAGAGTTGGAGGGCGGAAAGAGAGACATGGATTCTTTAGAAAGCACCTGAGGTTGTGTGTGAGATAATCTGTTTGCCTTTACCCACAATCCCCACTTTTCAGCAAGGAGGAAGGCGTGTTTCTCTCTTTCTCAAGAAACTCCTCCTTCAAGTGGCCTGTGCAAATTCAATCGTCCATCTTCAGTTCCGTTTCACCCTCTTCATAACCTCTCAGTATCCATGGTAACACCGCTGTACCCAGGGCATAGTATTACTTGAGGGCCGGGCAAACTCGTGGTCTCTCATGGCACTGGCACTGTGCCAAGACCCAGCCTTAATAATGTGATACTGTTATACCAGCACACACACACCCTAGCCTCAAGAGCCAGGCAGCGGGGCTTGTTCCGACCACGTTGTTTTTGTTGACGTTTTCCATGCATGTGTGTGTGTGTGTGTGTGTGTGTGTGTGTGTGTGTATGTGTGTGTGTGTGTGGTCCCGCTGCCAGGGGGAATGCCAAGTTGCCTCTCACCCTGTGTGGAATGTGGCATGCAAAGGAGACCTGTGTGTGAGCAGGAGCTCATTGAGGGAGGGGAAGAAAATAGTTAAGCTAAAAGATAGAATCAAATTTAAAAGTAGACCTGGGCAATATAAGAATATTATATCACAGCTAATTACAGGTTTTCATTTTGTGGGATTTTTAATGTAGTATGATGCAAATGACTGTTTCAAATGACCCAAAAAAAGTTGTCCTGCCTCCTTTTAGTCGATTAGCCGAATAAATGGCTGTTTTGGCCTTAGTTGACTAGGATTTATTCCACTAGATATGTTTCTTTCATGCCGAATGACTATCTCCAAGAATTGCATGCGCCTCTCTTATAGCACATCTTTGGTAACGCAACATTTATAGTGGGGCTTTTGATGCTCATGATTCTTTGTGGGGAAAGTTCTCTCAAAAGAAACCTCAGGGTTTTACAGTTTCTTTTGTTAAAGTCCACTAATCAATCAGGTCAAACATATCACATAAGTGTTAGTCTACTTTCTTTAGTCAAGCATGACCTTAACATAGTTGGTGAAGATGTTAATAGTTTTTAAAAATAGTAGTCAAATATTCAAGCTGTAATGTAAAGACAGCAGCTGATATTAAATCACATCCTGAACATTTGATATGTGGCATGCAAATAATCTTTAAATAAACTTCAAAATAGGATTGTATGTGCACCTGCTCCATTTTCACATCCCAGCCACCGGTGGAAACCTGTTAATGTGAGCAAAGGGGGGTTTAATAACCATCTCTATTTAGAGAGGCTGACCTTTCCAAGCCTGAGAATGTCTCTTGTTTCCCTTCCTCCTTTTAACTGTGGCCATGGTGATAAGGGGACAATGTGTGTGTTTTGTGTTTATCGACGTGTGTACGTGCATGTGCGCTTACGTGTGTGTTACAGAACTTTATTTCCTTGTCGCTACCAAACACTAACCAAATACAGGTAATTGAATCACAGTGTGTCCACTTACAGAGTGTGTGTGAGACTGTGTGTTGACTTCCCTGTAAATGTGTTTGCAGAGCACTTAGAAGGAAGCTTGAGCTCACGTTGGAAGTTGTTGTTAAAGATTGTTGCTTTTAATTACTAAATAATTAATTGATATTGTCTTTCTAGTTCAGAAAAGGAAGCGACTGAGACATAAAGCAACATTGTGTTCCTTCTCTGCAGAAGCTAAGACACAAACGGTCCAGATAAGTTCAGAAAGACATTAAATGGCAGCGGCCGGGGGATCAGCTCTCCTTTATCTGTGCTTTCCTTCTCACAGAAAGGAATGTTAATGGTGGCTTTGTGATTGTTTCAGTTCTCCGGTGTGACTGACGGGTGATTGGCAGCTCTCAGAGACTCTCAATGGGGAAAGTAGAGAGACTTCAGTGTTTTAAAAGAATGATAGCTTTAATTTGATTTGGAGCAGCCTCTGAGGTTAAATGAAAGTTCACACGGTACTTGTTCCATTAAACGATTTATGTAATGTTTCTATTTACAGGCTTGACACCAGCCGGTTGTGTGGGGAAAGTAAACACGGTCACTGGCAAGCAAATAACATGCAAATAGAAACTGAGCCTGAAGAGCTGCACATAAAAAGAACCACGCACAATTGTTCTTTGTATGAGATGAGAATCACTCAGCCTGGGAGCATTTTGCAGAGCATAAGCAGTTATGAATTCACTAGATCCTTGGATGAAAAAGTGTAATAATGTCAGGCTTTTAAAATCATCCGTGGCAGGTATTTTTTTTAATATTGAACAGATAAGAGTATGTTCTACAGCCATGACTGGAGGGCTGACGCTAACAGCTAAACAAGCCAAAGCTTTACCCTCTCTGTGTTATTGCGGTATTCTAGGCCTGGAGGCGCCTTTTTAGATGATCTGTCAGGGCTTGCTGATATGCAGCACGGTCACATGTCCAAGGAAACACTCTATTATTAAACAAAAAAGATCATAGGAGACTGTAGTATGCTACCAAGTACCAACCCTCTTTGCAAAGGATAGTGTTCTTAAATAAGGGTTAAAGTGGTCAATGGGAATGCTAAATCGTGTTAGCAGGTTGGAATTTTCCTCCTCATTGGTTCCAGTGCTGTGAAATTAAATTATACAGCCTAAATGCTGCACATGCACATGCTGCTTATTAATACTCCTGTTGTCTTCGGGTCAAATCTGACCGATGTACTACTTTCATCAATCATAACTTTATTGTTTTACATTCGATTGCATTAAGGCTTTATGATATCCTTCACAGTAGGTATTTGAACATATAAAATTGCTGATCACCACTTTCATTGAATTTTGGATGATTTAGTCAACTTTGTAACACCCATGGTGTTCCCGGTCAAAAATGACCGCCATAAAGAAAAGGAATTAGTAACCATCTGGATCAGATGACACACACACACACACACACACACACACACACACACACACACACACACACACACACACACACACACACACACACACACACACACACACTCTAGATGTGTTCCTCCCCCCTTATGAATCCCCCCTTGTGAATCACACCTGGCATCCACAAACACACACACAGAACAATTTGATACATTTCCCGCTCTTATGTGCCCATCCCCCCACATGGATCACACCTGGCACACGCAACACATGTTCAGTGTCTATTCTTTGTATATGTAGCCTACTACAGTTTTTCATGTATACCAGTAGTCTGATACATTATTTACTGTTTGAAAGGGTGTTAAAAGAAATTTGGTGATGATTAATGGTTTTTGTGTTTATGTAATAGCAGTTAAAACAGGACCGGTCAAATTTGACCGCGATCACCAAAGTAAGGGGGGGAAAACGAAGACAATAGGAGGGTTAAGAAATGTTCTGTATTTTGTAGGTTACCTGTCCAAAGTGTTGAGGAACTACAGCGAGGAGGCCTGTGACGGAGACTTTCTGTCCGTTCGCTGCCCGCCCCGCACCACCATCACCGTCCAATCAGCTTTCTACGGGAGGAAAGGAGCCTCCGACCCCAAACAGTGCCCTCAGAGCTACCAGGCCCTCTTTAGTTCTTATAACCCGCGGGACGATGACCGATATTGTTCTGTGTCCACAGCACTACAGGTAATAACTGAACTCACACTTTCCTCACAGTGTTTTGTATCAGAAACTGACAATTTTCTCATTTTATAGATTACTTTTCCTCATTTTTTAAAGGACCTGTAGGCTAAATTAATCAGGTTTCTTAATTCCTCTCCAGTGTCTTCCATGTGTCCCTGACCTTTGCATTTGTTCAGCTTTCCTCCCTGGGTTAGTCCACTCTTCACACACTTTCATTTGTACACAGTGGATCCTCCTGGGAAAAAGTGTCCTGTAAAGTGGTCAAATATGCCAAGGGTTTTATTTTGGAGGACCACAGTGATTATGCAATGCTTTGTGAGGATGTTTTCCGGCAAATTAAACTCTCTAAAGAGGAAGCATGCTTGTTACCATGTGACAAAGCGATTTCATGGGGTCCTTGCCTTTGCATCCTCTCCTAAATTGGGATGCGACTGAAGTGAACCCTTGCTTTGCAGCACCAATGCAAACATACACAAACACATCCTGTTCAGCATTCATTAGGTTGTTTGGTTTATTCCTAGTCCCCATGCCTTCTCGCGTCGAACACCCTCCAATTCTATAATAGCCAGGAAAGCCATGAATGCACAGACACAGAGAGTGCATTGTGCCAAAGTGAGAGAATGACTGACTGCTGCGCCACCCCCATTAGCACAGCACTAAAGAAACCCATTGTGCCACCTGAGCATGACTGTGGTCTGTTGGTACTACATGAATGTCTACATATACCATTTTAATCTGATGTTTTTTCTATTCATCATTTTATCTGTGAAATGTCCACAAATTAAAAAAGTAAATGGATAATTATCTTGACCATTAACCATTAACATTTCCCAGAACATAAGATGGCATTTTCAGAAATGGTCTTTTGTTGTTGTTGTTTTTTTCCTTCATTTTTTTAGGAATACTACACCCACAGTAGGGCTACTCGACTATGGCAAAAAATCATAATCTCGATTATTTGGGTCAATAATTGATAGCACATTCATTAAAGCGATTATCCATTTACTTTGAAAACATCATTTATGAAAATAAAAAAGTGAACAGTATGTTTTTAACAGTTGATTACCCTGAACTTAAGTATAAATTCCAACTGAATCCCAATAAAAAATAATAATAACAAATACGTTTTATTTCGATTACGTTGTTTTCGTAATCGTTGCAAGCCAGAATCGTAATTGCGATTAAAATACGATTAATTGAGCAGCCCTAACCCACAGAATTACAATTTGTATTTCAAAAACTCACTGTGTGGTACCTTGTATTGGTGAAGAAAATATTTGTTTTCAGGGATACACTTTTGTATATAAAACAATCAAAAAACGGAGGAAATTCCTTATAAATTGGACTAAACCCGTCCACATGTACATGGTACTTACTCCGTCTGAGTCAACAAGTCTGTGTCTTAAAAAGTAAGGTTTTAGCCAGAATGCACCTGATCTGAGGTATTTAGCATTCGACTGGATGAATGAGAACTGGATTATACTGCACGATGTTGTGTGAAATACAAATTTTCATTTCAAAAAGTACTTCTTCAAGTATATTCCCCAAACAGCTGTAGACAGTAATGTTGATGCTTCTCAAAATACTTTTTGATTTGGTGATGTAGAGAGTATTCAGCAGGTGTTTATGTGACTACAGCAGCTGTGTGTATTGTCATGTGGGGAATAGGGGGGAACACACAAACATCCCTCATTTCTCCCTCTGCATTCCATGATCTAATGTACAAAATGCTTCTCCTTTCATGTTAAATTCGGGGGAGGGCTGTGAACAAAATCCATTGAGTCATTCCTCCAGCGAGTGGGATTTCAGTACCGGAGAGGTATTGTGTTGGAATGTGCTCACCTGGGATACAGCCGGCTAAAGATGATGAAACTGGAGAAGCAAGAGAATGCCAGGAAATGAGTGGAGTGGGGCTTTCTCTTTACCTGCTTCTCTCCTCCATATTCCCATGGCCATAAGCAGCCTGTTTGAAGTGGTTTTAGGTTTGCTTGCTGCTGGTCTAACCATCGTTGGCTTATTGTTCTCCCTCTAACCCTCTCTTTGGTCTTCCCCCGCTCTCTGTCACTCTTTCCCTCTTTAGAAAATGCTGGACGAGTGCCAAGACAGAAGGAGTTGTCAAGTCCTTGTCAACAGCCGCGTGTTCGGGACGGACCAGTGTCCCGGCAGCAGCAAATACCTCATTGTCTGGTACAAATGCAGACCTAGTAAGTCCCTCAGCACCTCCCATCTTGACAGTGACTGACACGGCTGACCCTCTCTGTGCGTTTTTCTTTTTTTCACACTCCTCCACTTTTAATCAGGAATACACCAGGGGTTGGGTCACTTCATCTGCTTTTGAGACTGAATAACAACATTTACAGTCAGAGGAAATCCAGTTCCACATTTTGGTTTGTTTGTGTTTCAGAGCAAACTGTCGCAGTTTATAAAAAGAAAATAGTTTAGTATTAGAGCTAATTGCATTTTTAATGAACATCCTTCTTTCAACCAATGACCCTTACTTTGATGATCGATATCCTCTGTTATTTTTCTTTTGCATAATGTATATGTACTGTAAGTACGGACACATATTTTCTCACTAACCCATAGCTTTTAGGTCTACAAAAAATCATTTCTACATTTTAAATCATATTTTTTAGACAAAACGGCCAATGAAAAAGAATGCTGATATATCCCCAGTATCAGTGGCGGTTCTAGACCAATTTGACTGGGGGGGCCACTGGGGGGCCAGTTATTTTCTGAGTGGGGCACAATAAATGCAGGACGAAAAAGAGAACTAGACAGTATAAAGTCATTGCGCATAAGAAATCAATGCAATACAGTTATTGGTATTTGTTTCAGTACACTTATTTATTTCAGATATACCTTATAGTTATTAATGTTAGCTTCAGCTTAAGTTTTAGTACAATTTTTGCACTAATACCATATCATATTTATATAAAAATAAAGGCAATGAACAGTTACATCTCTACTTTACATCTACAACTACACGGATACAATAGTTTAACTCACCTTCAATTGTCGTGGTAGTCTCTCGAAACGTAGGTTTCAATCAGTCTTTCTTGGATGCAACAGTCTCTGATGATCCGAGATGAAAAGTGTTTGTTTTTCTCGCGCTTCAGCCGAACAGTGAAAGTGAGTGCACCGCTCTAATGGGTCCTGAGTGCACCGCTCTAATGGGTCCGACTAGAACAGGGATGGGCAAATGGCGGCCCCCACCTCCTCTTTTTGCGGCCCTCAGATTAATTTATAAACAACGTAATTAATA